TTTTTTTTTTTTTTTTTTTTTTTTAATATAAAAAAAAAAGAATTAATGGTTTTTAAATTTACCCAACAGAAAAAAATTTCTCCCCCCCCAACAGGACGACAGCAATACGACGATAAATTTTTTTTTTTTTTTTTTTTTCAAACGAATAATTTAAAATCAAATATTATTGAAAATAAACTGACATTTCGGTCGTCGTCGTCGTCGTTGGCAGTTAAAGAGATGGAATAAAAAAAAGGAAAAAAAAAAACGATATTTAAATGTCGACGGAAAATGTCTTGGGATTTAGACCGAATAAAAAAAAAAAGAAAGGAAAAAGGAAAATGGAAAGAATAAAAAAATTTTCCAGGCACGAGTCCGAAAATTTTCCTCCCAAACAAAAAAAAAACATACAAAATTTCAATCCTTCACTTATATATTTTTTCCCCCCTCCTTCACCCTCTTATCATTATTATTATTAAGTTTTTTTTACCGTTTGTAATAACGACAGCAGACGAAAAATCCAAAAAAAATTTTACAATACAAACAACAACAAACGCCATGGAAAACAAACAACAAACAGAAAAAATAAAAATTCGACATCTTCATTTTTTAATTATAAAAGTTCCCACCAATCGTAAAAAACGAATCGCTAATAATATCACGATAATGATAATAATAATAATAATAATAATAATAATAATATTTAATAATAATAATAATAATAATAATAATAATAATCCAGGAAATCGCACTATGTGGGACGGCCCACATTTTTCGGAAAATACTCTATAAATAGCACCAACGAAATTCGAGCATTTATCCCTAAGGAATCGTCCAGGGTAGAAACCTGGAATAAATGCACTTAAAAATCCCGACAAATAAGAGCCTTGCCATGTTTAAAAGTGACCATAATAATAATAATAATAATAATAATAATAATAATAATAATAATAATAAAACAAATTTGAATTTTTTTTTCATTACATGTAATAAAAAAAAGAAAATGAGCGAATTTCAAATAGTCGCCATCATGCTTTTCCTTGCCATTCTCATACTCATCATCGTCATGACCGTTTGTAGATTTATCGGATTATGGACGTGGACGACAACGTGGATATTTTCATCGAAAGAAGAAAAATTAAATTTGACGAGGAGCAAAGGTTACTACAACGCTAATGGATACTTTGTGAGTTTTCCACACCACGCCCCCCACCATCCTCCCTCACGCCTCCCTCTCTCCGCCTTTTTTTTTTAAACTAATTCCATTTGAATCGTATTTTTTTTTTTTTCTGGCGATTAAGGTTCCATCGGATTCCATGGGTGATATTAATCTTTGCTACAGCGGAAGTTTCAAAAGATTCGATCCCGTCGATCACGATTATAAAATAGCCATGACGACATTTTCACCTCCACAACAACAGCAAACGGAATCCCTCATGATGAATTATCCACAAGAAATTTCATTGCCCTACAGCACGATACAATCAAACGATATATCAGGTAAATTTTTTTTTCCCTCTCTCTCTCTCTCTTTACCTTTTCATCATTATTATTATTATTTTAAGTGAAACATTAATGAAGAACGTGAAAATATTATTATCATCATCAAAAGGTACAATCGTAAAAAAAAAAAAAAACATCATTCGAACGTTATTATTATTATTATTATTTTTTTTTATTTACCGTAATAGAAAATTACGATTTGATATTATGACGTAATAAAATCTTTTTTTTTTCTTTTTTACATCCTTTTTCCCCCCGATTTCTATTAACTTCGTACAAAAAAATTTCATTTCCGGTTAAACGCGTATACATATATATATTTTTAACTTAATAATAATAATAATAATAATAATAATAATAATAATAATAATAATAATAATAATAATAAAACGAAATCGTTTTCTTCATTTCATTAACGAATTTTTTTTTTTTTTTTTTTTTTTATTACTTCAAGTTTTAATCGAATTCATTATTATTATTATTATTATTATTAGCTGTATAATTATTTTATGTATTATTAAAAGTCAATTTTATTGTTACGACGATGATGATAATGATGATGATGATAATAATAAAGAGAAAGCAAAAGAATAACAAAACAAATTAATTAAATTATAAATATTCGTAGATTTAGAATTTTCAAAAAACATTTTCTCGTTTAAACAAAAAAATTTTTTTGGAAAATAATAAAATTCCCCCCTCCCTTCCTTCATACCCCCCCCCAAAAAAAATAACGGAGAAAAAAGGGGGGGGTTTAAATATTTGCATATGTAAAAAAAAAATAAAATGTGAAATTTAAACGCGACCGCGTGTGACTTACTCAATTTATTATTATTATTATTTTAATTTTCGTTACGAACGAACGTAAAATAAATTTCAATTTGGAATTATTATTATTATTATTATACGATGTAAAAAAGATTAATTTAATTGTTGTTCCAACAGCAAAAGCAAAAAATAAATTTTTTTCTTTCGTTTTTTATTTTTTAATTTTAAAATTTTAAAAAATTTATTACGTCATAAAAAATTTAAAAAAAACAAAATTTCGCGCCTTTTTTTTCGCGGTAAAAAGTGAAAACTAATTAATGACCATTTCGAAAAGTTTAAATAATTTAATTACGATTTTTTTTTTTTAAATTTTTTGTGTCACGTTCGAAGAACCATTCAAACAATCTCAAAACCATTTGCTATATCCGGTTCGATTTGCACCTCAAATAATCATGACGTCATAATCACGACGTAAACGACAGCTTTTTTTTTATATATATATAGATTTTACTAAGCCTTCGTGCTTCAGCAACAGTTCCAATCAATCGTTATATCGTGTGAATTCGACAACAGGATTTAGTTCCTCTCAACCCGTACTTATATCACCGTCATCAAGTTTTATATCGTCTTCCGTTAGTTTCGGTGGTTCGACGTCGGAAAAAATACCACCCCAACCCCTCAGACCGGCTCCCGCACCACCACCGTCACCAACAATATTAGAAAAAAAAAATACGGAAATAAATAAAGGAGAAGAATCCGAGAATGGGGTCGGTAGTAGTAGAACGTCATCTACGGTGACACCACCTCCCATACCGCCTAGGAGTAAGTTTAACGCTTTGTTCCGCCTTCGTTTGTTCGAATTTATAAACAAACGGATCGATATTCCAGGTAAAATTTCTAAACAAGACAATCCACCGGTTAGATTAAGGTCTCAGGCTTCGATCGAGAGAGAGGAAGCATTCAAACAAGTCCAAGGACTTCAACGTGCAATCAGCTGCGAATCTGTTAATTCTGACACATCGGTCGGTTTGGCCGATTTGGAAGAACCACACGTGACAGGGTATTTATGCGTAGGATTAGATTACGATAGGTAATTTATTATTATTTTACACCCTACCCCCCCACCCCATTAATCCCCCACCCATCATTAATCCCTCATCTTTAATCTATCATTTTCTCATTAGCGAATGTGCTGATTTATCAGTCAACGTTTTAGAAGCTAAAGATTTAATTGGACCAGATCCCGATAGTCAAACTCTAATGGATACATACGTCAGAGTTAATTTGCTCCCAGATAAAACAGCTAACATACAAACGAGGGTAAAATACAAAAAAAAAAAAAAAATTAAATTCGTTCACTCGCTCCCTCGCCCCTCCAAAGAAAATTCTTGACCTCTTTGGACGTTTTCCAGGTTTACAAAAGTTCAAACTCTCCAAGTTATAAAGAAAAATTTTTATTTGCATTAGAACCCCACGAATTTTCAAAAAGGAGTTTGTCGTTTAACGTTTATTCCACTGATAAAAATTCAAACACACTCATAGGGGAAGGAGATTTACGTTTATCAGACATATCGTCGAAACAAGGCGTGACAACATGGGTAACATTGACAGATACGGGACAGGTAAGAGAAAGATAACCAAGAAAAACAAGAAAATAAACCATAACAAAAAAAAAAAATAAGAAAGAGGGAAAATTTCGAAAGAATTAAAAAGTTATCGCTGTCGTAACAAACGACAGAAAATAAAAAAAGAAAAAACTTCAATGATTTCAGAATCGTACAGAATGGGGAGAACTTATGCTGTCACTTAATTATCTGCCAACAGCCGAAAGACTGACCGTTGTAGTTGTCAAAGCTAGAAATTTAGTCTTCCCTCGACAAAGAGATTCAGGAGATCCTTTTGTCAAGGTGGCGACAATTATAAATTTTTCTGTCGTTTTTATTTTTTTTTTTGTGACGTCACGAACCTAAACCTTTTTTTGCCTTCAGGTATATCTATTAAAACAAGGTAAAAAATTATATAAGAAAAAAACATCCGTTAAAAAAGGAGAAAAAAGTCCGATATTTAACGAAGCTATGATATTCAATGTTTCACCCACGTCTTTACAAGTAAGTACAAAATAATAATTTATCAACACTTCTTTTCATCCAATTCGTTAATTGTCGACAAATTTTGACAAATTTAATTACGACAAATTTCCCCTCAACGAATTTTCCCTACGATTAATTTCCCCCCCCCCCCCAATAATCATCATCAAAAAAAAAAAAAATGGCCGAAGAGCAACAACAAACAAACAAATAAATTTTTTCGTTCGTTAAAATTTACCATCATGCAATTTTACCAACTTTTTAAAAATAAATTTCCCAACACCAACAAAAAAAATATTATAAATTTGATACTAATAATAATAATAATAATAATAACATTAACTAACAAAAGTTTTATCAACGAATATTACTATTTAAATTTGAAATTTTATTTTTTTTTTTTTTTAAAAAAGTTTTTCTTTTTTTTTTTTTTTTTTTTCCTTCTCTTGATTTTTAAGTTTTGAGAAAATCTGTGGGTTGCCAAGACAACCACCATAGAACCCTTTTCACCTTTTCTCTCTCTCTCTCTCTCTTTTAACTTAAAAAAAAAAAAATTTTAAATAAAATGAAAAAGAAGACAATTTTTTGTAAATGTTCATCTTTTTGTTTTTCTTTTCGACCGCCATTTTTTTTTAAATTTTTAATTATTATTATTATTAATATTCGAAACTTATAAAAATAAATGTATGACGTATATTATTAATTTAATAATAACACGTTTTAAAACTTTAAATAAATAAATAAAGAGAGAGTGAGAGGGAGTGAGAGGGGGGGTGAGAGGGTTAAAACCGAAAATAAATTTTCTTTGAAATTTAATATTAGTACTACCTTGTAAAGAAAAACCTTCAAGGTTAAACGCGTAAATAATAATAATAATAATAATAATTTATTTTTAGAACTTACAACTTAGATTGACGGTTGCCGAAAATATTGGGGAACCAAAGGCGTATCCATTAGGTCATGTCATTTTAGGATCTCAAGCATCCGGAAAAGCTCTTTCACATTGGATACAAATGCTTTCGATGCTTCGTAAACCGACAGCAATGTGGCATCCTTTAAAAAAATAATTTTAAATTAAATATTAATCGCTTATGCAAATACAATCCATTTTTTTTTTTTTTTTTTTTACATATATATAATCTACAATAAAATAAATAAAACGAATGCGAAAATAAACAAATAATATTATTATTATTATTATTACATTCGCATTCGTACGTACAACCAGGACAATAAATGTATATATGTCCATCATTAATTATATTAATCGTAACTATAACTTTTTAAATATTAATAATAATAATAATTACTGGATGAATTGTTTGTTATATAAATGGTGCCTTTGGTCGAGATTTTTCACATCCATGTTGAAATTTTCTATACAAAAAAAAATTTTCTTTTTTCTTCTTCTTTTTCTTCTTCTATATTATACGCTTGGTAATAATTTATAGAGAGCCTGAAACAACCGGAGAGCTTCCCATCTACAAACAATAAAATAAATTCTTTATTTTTATTTTTATTTTTCATATTAATTTAAAATTAAAAATATATAAATAAATAAATATATTATTATACGTATGTAAATAATAATTGAAAATGAAATAGTGAATGAATTGATAAAAAAAAATTTTGTCTGTGAATATCTGTCTGTGTGTGTTTGTTTGTTTGTTTGTTGGTTGTTGTTGTTGTTTTTATGTAAAATTTTTCCATATCTTAATTATTTAGTAAAATGAGAATAGCCTTTTAATTATTTTATATCATTTAAATTTATTTATTATTATTATTATTATTACATGTACATAATTTATTGATGATGATGATGATGATGGTTGGTAAATAAATAAACAGGTAATTATAAATGATGATAATAATAATAATAATTAATTATTCTAAACAAAAATTTAAAAAAAAAATTTTTTTTTTTTTTTGTTGCTCCCATTTTGCATAAAGCAATCATCATATGTACCTATTTATTTATTTTAATACATATATATATGTATATATTTATTTATTTACTTAAATTTTACTTTTTTAAACATAAATTAATAAATAAATATATATAAATTTGTTGTTGATGTTTAGAAAATAATATGAAAGTATATATCATGAATGTTAATAAAAGAAATGCTTAATTTTATGTGTATAATAATAATAATAATACCCTGTGTATTGTATTTTGCTTTAAAAAAAAAAAAAAACAAATAAAAAAACTTACATATATATATATATTGTAATTTGTGTTAAAATATTTTATTTTAATTAAATTTATAATTATTATTATTATTATAATTTTAATTAATTATCATAATGAATTAATTGAACAAGATTGACAAACACACACACACACTCATATTATATATTATTTAAAAATTTTATGTATAGAAAATAAATTTAAATTAACAAACAAAAGAAAAAAAAAAAAGTTCAAAATGATGTTATAATATAATATAATATAATAAATTAAATAAAATAAATTTCAGCTCAATTTATATTAATGTACATTATACAATATATGCGTACAATGTATAATAAGAATGAAGCTCAAATCACAAATTACAAAAAAAAAAAAAAATGTTTTTCAAATATATACACGTATTTATATATTTTCAATTGTTAATTTAGTGATTTGTGTTTTAATATAATATATTATTAATAAATAAAAAAAAATGATTTCAAGTGTAACTTCTGTATAAAGAAAAAAGAATTGAGCATAATGAGAATATATAATAATAATAATAATAATAATTCTTATTCATTTTTAATTTCTGTATTGGAAAAAATGGTTTTTTTTCTAAAATTGAAATAATGTGAGATGAAATTTAAATAAAACAATAAATAACTTACATGATTTTACTGATTTTGCATTTCAAAACTCAAAAAAATATCTAATTAATTTAATTGAATTTCTCATGAACACATAAATTAAAACTGTCTCGTCAACGGCGAGATTTTAACGAGAAAGAAGCGGTTATTTTATATACGTCGACAATAATTGTTCTAAAAAGAGAGAAAAGTGTCGCCAAAATAAAAAAATAATTTGTTAAGTGTCGTATGATGTGAGATAAGTCACAAACAATTGCAAATTTATTGTTAAGCTGTTAATCCGCCAACTAAATGCAATTAAGCATTAAATAAAATGCTACTAAATATATCGTAAAATAGTATTGATGATTCATACAGGTATTGCAAGGTTTTTTTAAAGTTATTACGTATTTCATTCTCTTATTTGCGTAATTAAATATTTAAAAACATATATTCAAGGCCAACCTTATTTTGAAAATGATGAAAGTCTTGCAATTCTAAGAATTCTTACTTGAATACAATTTTTATTATCAATTTAAAACGTTTTACTTTTACTTTGGTTAAAATTAATTAAAATGGAAAGCTGTCATTCAATTGAATTTATCAGTTTAAGGCGAAGGTATCGCTATTAACGTAAATAAAATTAAACACTAACTGTTATTATGTCATTAATAATTTGCTGACATGATCATTTTTAAAAAGCCTATTATTATTTGTCAATATTGTATTTGTACCATGTTTATCATTATTATTATTATTATTATAATTTTTTAAATTACAGTAGTAGTAAAGACATGTCCAGAGAAGAATGCATTTCTTGGTTTCATGGAAAGTTATCAAGGGATGATGCTGAAAAACTAATTCAAGATCTTAATTCAGAGGGTGGATTTTTAGTTAGAGAAAGTTTCGCATCACCCGGTGATTTCGTTTTAACATTACTTCATAATGGTGATATTGTTCATTATCAAATACTACGCCATGGAGAAGATGCATTTTTTAGTATCGGTGAGTAAATTAAAAATAAATATTTATATCAGTGCATTATGTTTAAAGTAAACAACGATACCAATTAAAACTTGATTAATGTTAAAAACTTAATGAAATATCGAAAAATGTCAAAATGTTTTTTATTTTTTTGTCAATTTTTATTATTAATATGATTAATTTAATAAAAAACAATTAACTTCAGATAATGAACACATTTTTCACGGGTTAGAAACTCTCATTAACTATCATCAAGAAAATGAAAACGGTTTAATAACTAAACTAACAAATTTTTGCAAAAAAGATCCACCTCCTCACGATACCAGATGCCATGGTAAAACAAATTTACTACACAGAGCAACCAAAGAAGGTAAATATAAAATAAAAAATGTGAATTTACAAGTAAAAGTTATTTATTGTCGATATCTTTTTTAACGAAACAAAATTTTTTTAAAGGTAATTACACGGTAGTATCGGAATTACTAAAATGTGGATACAGGAACACTGATGCTAAAAGCGAAGATGGTCAAACTGCTGCACATTTAGCTAGCAGAAAAGGAGCAGATGATATATTAATAAAATTAATTGAAACAGGTGCTAACATTAATTGTAGGGATACAGCGGGATACACTCCTTTACATGTAAGATTTGTGTTTCCTCTCTCTCTAATCGATTAGAATTTCAATTAAAAATTTATCGCACATGTATAATCATTTTAGTATGCATGCCAAAGCAATCACTTAACAACGATTAGACTGCTTATACAAAAAGGTGAAGCACAAGTTCAAAGTAGAAATGCTAACACTGGTTGGGTGCCTTTACACGAAGCCGCTTGGAGAGGATTATCAGAAGTCATACAGCTTTTATTAGGTTTAAATGCTCCTGCACATCCTAGAACACTAGAGGGTGAAACTCCTCTTATGTTAGCTCAAAGAAAAGGATTTCAAGACTGCGTTGAAATTTTACGTAAGAAAATAAAAAAAGAAGGAGAAAAGTCATTTATTATTATTATTATTTTTTCTAATTGACAGGGAAATTTCATTGCAGGTAAATACAAAGCTCCGAAACCGGTACTTTCCAAATACAATTGGTATCACGGTACACTAGATAGAAAAGAAGCCGTTGAATTACTTAAAGAATATGGTAATAAAGAAGGTTCTTATTTAGTTCGATATAGTCATAAAAATGGCGGAGTTTACGTTCTAACGATGATAGTCAACGATAGAAGTTTTCATTTTCAAATAAAAAACGAAGTATTTTTATATAATTATTATTATTATGTCTTTGGGATTTTCCCACGATTTTCCTCATTATCAACAAATTAATTTCTTTTTTTTTTTTTCAGAATGGATATTATTTTATCGACGATGGTCCTTTGTTAGAAAGTTTAGAACACGTTATAGATTATTATAGTAGAATGCAAGATGGTTTACCGACCGTTTTGCAAATTCCAGTGCCACCCAAACCAAAACCTCCAGTGCCAGAATTTCCAAGACATGGCGTACGTCATTTATTAATTTTTTTTTGAATTATTTTCCTCCTAACCTCAACGTTTTTGCTCCATGTAATGGTGGTTTTGCGTTTAGCTTTCAGCCACGATGCCTTTAAAAAAAAAGAATCACCAAAGAGACGTTGGTAATTCTTTAACGGTGGATGCCGAGTCCAACGCCACCACGATGACTCGAAGATCGTCTACGCCATTGATAATTTCCACCGGAACCGGAGATAAATCGACGAATAAAAAAGTCGTGACGAACAATTGCACTCAAGTACCTCAGGTGCTTCTCAAGGGAGAGGAAATCGTTTCCGAACCTCCAGGTTGCATACAAAGTTGCAGGTTAAAATTGGGTAACGTTTTGGGAGAGGGCGAATACGGATTCGTTTACAAGGGAACTTATCAAGTGGACGATTTTAAAACTGTATGAAACCTTTCTCTTCTCCTCTTCGAAACGAATACCTTATTGGCTTAATAATAATAATAATAATAATAATAATGATTTCAGATCGACGTTGCCGTTAAAACTCTTCACAACGAACATTTACCCGTTAACCGATGCGAATTTATAAGGGAAGCCAAAGTAATGACTAGTTTAAATCATCATTGCGTCGTTAAATTAATCGGTTCGTATTAACAATAATAATAATAATAATAATAATAAAAGTAAAACTCGAATTTATCGAATGGGATTTATTTAAATAGGTCTTTCTCAGGGACCCCCGCTCATGATGGTACAAGAATTAGTTCCTCTAGGATCCATGTTAGCTTATTTAATAGAATTCCCGGATAGAGTAAATCCAAATTACGAATTGAAATTATGGGCTTCGCAAATTGCGTGCGGTTCGTACTTTTAAATAAATTATTATTATTATTATTTTTCTTTTTCGGTTAAGCAACGCAAAATGATTTTCAGGTATGAAATATTTAGAAGAACAAAGATTCGTTCATAGGGATTTAGCGGCGAGAAACATACTCCTGTCGTCTAGGCACCAAGCGAAAATAAGCGATTTCGGTCTTTCCAGAGTCATTTCCAGCGACAGTCAATATTACAAAGCGACCGTTGGTGGTCGATGGCCTATCAAATGGTAAGTCGCGAATTTCGAAACCTCCTCCTTATTATTATTATTATTATTAGTAGTAATATTATTATAAATTAGGTACGCACCGGAGTCATTTAATTTCGGTACATTTTCTCACGCGAGCGACGTTTGGAGTTTCGGCATAACGCTTTGGGAAATGTTTTCTTTCGGTCAGCAACCCTACGGCGACATGAAGGGAAGCGAAGTGAGTAGTGGTACTAGTAGTAGTAGTATCTTGGTTTTTTCCGTCGGAATTAAAAATAATAATTATTAATTATTATTACTCCGAAAGGTTATAAAACGAGTCGAAGAGGGAGAAAGACTTTCGAAACCGGAAAATTGTCCGGAAGAAGTGTACAAGATAATGGAACAATGTTGGAATTTCGAACCCACGATGAGGCCGACGTTTGCTCAACTCCTAAACATATTTTCAACGGATCCAGAATATATAAACATTAGAGAATTGGTCATAGGGAGCGACATCTCTTGAAAAAGTTGGGGGAGGGGGGGGGGAAAAAAGGGGAGACGACGACGACGACGACGAACGGGTTTTTTCCCCTTTTCATTCCTCTTTGAATTTTTCCGTAAGAAACAAATTCCAAAAAAAAAAAAAAAAAAAAAAAAAAAACGCAAGCACGCACGCACGCACGCACGCATCCACGCAAGTTTTCCAAAGCTTGATAATCTTTTTATTTATTTATACTAATCGATAATATCGATGATAAGAGGTGCCATGGCGATAATATATCGCGACCGAGATGAAATTTACTATAAAGACAATAAAAAAAAAAAAACAAACGAGCTTATAATTTGGGGGGCGGGGGGGGGGGAAATCACACGAGTAGGCCTTTTTTAACGAGTTAATTTATTCGTTTATCCATTTATTTATTTAAAAATTTAATTTTTATATAAACGATTCGTATTAAAATTGACAATTTCCGGTTTTCCATTTTTCCGATTTATTATTATTATTATTATTATTATTATAAAAGACAAAAGAAAAATCGAAATCAGTATTATTATTATCTTATCCTTCCAAATTTTTTTATGTTTCGTTTCTTTATATACGCGATTGATTTTCGGTGTTTTTACTCACGTCATTCATTTATTATTATTATTATTATTATGGTTATTATTATTATTAATTATCATTATGATTATGATTATTATTATTATTATGATTATGATTATTATTATTATTATTATTATTATTATTATTATTATTATCGTTTAAAAACCTTCGACTTTAAGATCAATTAACGATTCGTACCAAGACTATAATTTTTTTTTTTATAACTGTTGTTATCGTCTTAAATATTATTTATGTAAAACGCAAAAAAAATTTTATATTATTATTATTATTATTATTTATATATTTTGTATATATAAAAACGATTTTAAATATATTTATATATATATATATATATATATATTACGTCATTCGTTTTTTTATTGTTTATTTATTTAATTTTTTTAAATTTACCGATCGAAAATGGGAGGGTGACTCCTTCGAACGATTTGACCGTACCATCGATTAAAGATTTATAATCTCCAAAATATTTAAATCTATACGTTCCAGGTTTAACGTTGGATTTAAATATTTTCCATTCTACATCTACTTCGCTCGTACCTTCCACGGGATTCGTTCTTCTCCAATGCATTCTTTAAAAAAAAAAAAACCCATTTGGAGAAGACAATGACAAAAAAAAATCTTTGAATAAAAATTTTTCACTTACTTTGTATTGTAATCCGCATCCGTTGCAACGATTTCCCATATTTCTACGTCATTTCCGTTTTCTAATTTTTTTTTCTTCCTTTTTTCTATCGTCAAAAACGTATCGTCCAAACGTAGATTGTTTCTTGGATTTGCACCGACCTTTAAAAATAAGAAAATTGATTGACAACCGTCGGTAGACATTTTGTTTTTGTTAAAGAAGCCATTTTTTTAATTTTATAAAATTTCCTTACGAATGTTGCTTTGACGGTTACTTCCGATGACGTGTCGTTAATGACGTTTGTCGAAACGTCTTCCGGTTGTACCAAAACATCACCGAAACCGTGTCCTCTTTTAGGATTGTCGAACACTACCGGAGGTATGAGCGACATCATTTTATCCGGATCCAAACCTGCAGGTTCGGGTCCTCTTTCTAACGTTTTATTCTAAAAAAAAAATTTTTTTTAAATATTTAACAAAAAAAGGAAACAAAGGAAACAAAGGAAAAAAAAAGGAAAAAAAGGAAACGAAAGATTTATTCATACTCACCGTTTGTAATGCGTTTGCCAAATTTTGATATTGCATCAAATGTAAATTTAAAGTGTGGGGTCCGAACAACGTGGAAGCAGCCTCGTACCTTTGATCCTTAAACAAACAAACAAACAAACAAACAAACGATTTAATTAAATATTTACCACGATAATAATGATAATAATAATAATAATTAAATAAATAAGTACTTGATATTCTTCGAACGTGGCTATGTAATCGCTGTAAGTGTTGCAAAGACCGGAAATGACGACGGTTGAATTTTTACCGAAAATTTCACCCAATAAATTTTTCATTCTTCTTCCGGACATGGTCGTGAATTCTCCAGGCACGCATGCTATTATCAAATTCCCCAATTTTCCAAGTTGAGTCGATACGATTTTAGGTTGCCATTCGAATGGGAAATTTAACTGAAAATCAATCAATCAAGTTTTTTATAAAATGACCGCGACGAATACGACGACGATGATAATGTTTTGGAGCATCTTACGTGTCCAGAAGCCAAAAGTATGGGTTTTGGAAAATGACATTGCACGTCTTCTTTTGTCGGACGTGCTAATACGTTTGCTATCGCATCGATCCACCATTTTGATTTCGTCATTCCCTGATGTAAAAATGGTAAAAATTGACCATCCGTCGTACCTGCACCCGCACTGTAACCCATGGCCGGAAGACATCCTCGTATCTTTAATTTTATGCTTATTAGTTTCCAGACGACAACAACCAGACAACAAAATGAAAAGTAATATGTTCAGGACTTACGTTTTCCACTCTTTTTGTCACTCTGTTAAAAAACAATCCTCTTGCTTTTGACATATCCACGTATTGATGTATACCCTGTACCGATCCGGTAACTTCAACCCCTTTTGAATTTTTTATCAAGTCCTAAAACACACGAAACAAACGATCAATCAACTCTTTCGATCCCTCCTTCGAAAACAACCAACAAACAACACGGCCACAACATGCTATACTACATTGTCGTAAATACCCAAGCTCCTTCGGCTAATTTGAGACCTATCATGGCAACGCTTTCGTACATATCTTTTCCAGGTCCTAACGCGTAACATTCTTCGAACATGTCCGAACATTTACTCGTGGCATCGCATTCTGTACCGCTTTGATGACATTTGGGTCCGTCAACGTTTGGCGAAACGTCTCCTAAATTACTCGAAGCAAACGACGCGACAAATTTTGACTGAAAAACAAATCCGCCATTTTAAAACTTATCTTCGGCCCTTGTTTCGGGAGTTTCGGCCCTACCTGTCCCATCAAACTATCTTTTTCTACAAATTTTTCCAATGTCAGAGCAGCATAACCGATGTTATCCGATGAGACTAATGTGTTTGTGTTGTTAAGGGTCGTACCGTGAATTGGAAACCAATTAATGGCACCGAGCAACTGTCCATCGTTTGATACGAAACGTAATTGAGTCATTTCCTTATCGGTGTCGTACGGGTACCTGATAACACCAAAAAGAAAAATTTTAATGGTTTTAAACCAAACCCCCCCACAAAAAAAAACATTATTCGTTCATTCATTTACATTTTCCTTTCCTTTTCCGGATTTTTAAGGTACGACGTAGGACTACGATTCACGGTGACACCAAGAACCGTCGTCGTCGACAAATAAAGTCTACCTTCTTGTAAGCTGTCGTGAGCTATGACGACGCTCTGAAATCAAATAATCATTTGAAACGTTGGTTTTTCCGAAAAAGCGGAAGTCGTGGGGAATACCTTGACAATTCCTTTGACGAGAGCATCAAACGTTTCCCGGCAAAATCCACCGCTTGGTATGTCGAAAAAGGTATGCATGAGAAAACCACCAACGGCTGAATGAGTGTGCGTACCTGATATTATGACGTTATCCATGTTGTAAAGGCCATCGAACATGTTTTCCAATGATTTTATAACCTTAAACGATTCGAAAATAATTTTTTAACGGATTGCAAAACCTTTGGTTTTCTCCATACCACTCGTACCTGAATTCTAACGCCATCCGCCATCATTCCGACATCAACGTTAACAAAAACCAAACGATTGTCACCATCGTCGACAACGTATGCTTTCGAATATTGTCTCGTGTGTATACCTGAACCTTTTTGTTCGAATTTACCATATCCCATCTGAAACAATAATAATAATAATAATAATGATAATAATAATAACAAACAAACGGTATAATAAATTAAAAATTTATGCTCACCAGCGTGACTTCAGCGATGGGACCCGTGACGTCAGCTCTTCCAACCCCCAATCTATAACATTCCGTAACCGTTAAAAAACAATTGAAAACAAACAAAATTATTATTATTATGTTTTTCATTATGGAAAACAAAAAAAAAAAAAAAAATCTTTTCGACAAACACTCGCGCACTACAAGAAAAAAAACAAACAAATCCGATTTTTTTTTTTTTTATACGTTCATAGCGATCCACTCGAAAAATTTTCTATGATAAAAATGGTTGTTAAAACTAACTGATAATAATAATAATAATAATAATAATAATAATAAATCATCGCACTCTCTCTCTCACTCTAAATCTCTTTTGATCATTTTTACGCGTCGACAAACAACAACAACAACAACAAAATTTTTTTTTTTCTTCCCATTTCTTCGTCACTTTTTGACAAATCCTTTGACGAATCAATCATTATTATTATTATTATTTTTTACATCCAATTAATAATAATTCCCTAAACGATAATGATAATGATGATGATGATGATGGCAAACAATTCATTTTGTTGTTGTTGTTGATTGTTCTCCCTTAAAACAAACAAACAAATATTTTTTGTAATGACAATTATAAAAATTTAATGAATTTAATATTTTTGTTTGTTTGTTTGTTTGTTTTTGACCCGATTTACGATTTGAACTCGAATCGCTCTGTCCGATTTAATTACGTCTTTATAATAATAATAATAATAATAATAATATTGTCCTTTTAAAAATAAAAAAAATAATAAATTTTTAATTTAAATGGTCAGATAACAAAATAAATTTAAAAAAAAAAAAAAAATGATAATATTGTGTTTTGTTTAACACTACAATAGATAAAAAGCAAAATAAAATAATATTTATCATCATCATCATCATCATTATTATCATTATCATTATTATTTAAATAACGTACTTGAATTGGGAAAAAAAAAAAAAAAAACTTTTTATTAGGCAATGATATCGACAAAAAAAAAAAAAAATTTTTTTCTTACAAAACATTTGAACTTTGATTTTTCCTGTGAGAAAATAAAAACAAACAAACAAACAAACAAACGTTTGTACTTGATTTGTACCGTTTGTATTTGTTTTACTTAAATTTACATATTTGTTTCCTCTGCGTTAAGAAAAAAAAAAAAAAAAAGACAAACGAGTGACAAAAAAATTTTTTTTTTTTTCTCGGATTACGTAACGAATATCAATCAATCAATCAATCAATTAATAAATAAATGAATCGATGAATGAATGAATCAGCGAATGAATGAATGAATGAATCTTAAATTACAATATTTTCATAAAAAAAAATAAATTTTATTATACAACAAATAAGCTAATAATAATAATAATTAATAATAATAATATACATAACAATTAATTCAAACTCTCATCGATCACGATCCGATTAATAAATCAATCAATCAATCATTTTCGATCGACAATCGCTAATCCCACGTCATTTTCTTTTTGTTTTCTTTCTTAACAAACTATCATAATTTTTCATTTTTCTCTACACCTTTATAAAACTATTTATTTATAAATCGGAAAAATCTCCGCGGTCGATGGAGCCTATTAGACGAAGAGGAGGAGTAGGAGGGGAAGGGGGAGGGGAGACACCGCCACCATCATTTTCAACATTATTATCCACGTTGAAAAAGGATGAACAAAAATCGCAAATCGTCGTTTCTTCAACAAAAAAAAAAAAAAAAAAGGAAAATTTTTTTAGAAATGAACGCCGGATCAAATAAATAAATAAATAAAAATAATAATAATAATTTCGTAGGGTTTCGAACCGCGTCCATTTTGTTTTTTGTTTTTTTTTCGCAACTTTCAAACGCGCGTTACGGTCATTGTGTGCGTTTTTATACATTCAAACTTTCTAGAACAACTGGAATGAATAAAATTAATAAAAGTGATAACAAAGACACGATGATTAGAATTATAAACACGAGAAAATATTAATAAAAAATTTATAAAAAAAAAAAACAAAAAAACTTCCTTGACGGGGGGCGGGGCGGGAGGGAAGGGGGCGGGGCGGGAGGGAAGGGGGCGGGGGATTCGAAGAAACGACGAAACGGATGCGATTTTGTCGAAGGGGGCGGGACCTGAGCGGAGGGCGGAGAAAAGAAAACAACAACAAAAAATTTCCCATCGGGTGATTTCAAACGACGCTCGTGACGTCATCGGGAAATTTTTTCTTTTAAATGCAAAATATGTATAAAAAAAAAAAAGTTTTTCTTTTTTCTTTTCTTTTCCTTTCCTTTCTTTTCTTTTCTTTTCCTTTCCTTTCTTCTTTTCTATCATATGTGCATCACTTTTTGATTCGTTTTTCCTTTTGTCCAATTCGTCGCCGACGGGGAATTTGGATGATATTCTCGTCCTCCTCCCGTCGCTGCAAAAAAAAAAAAAAAAAAAAATTTCCAAAGTCAACGAAAAAGAAAAGAAAAGGAAAAACCGACAAACGCTAGTGGATGAGGGAAAACTCACGTATGGACATGTCGGAATCCGTTATTCTCGACAGCAAATTCATTTGTTCCGTGTGCCTCTGAACGGAATCATCTTTTATCGTTTTATCTTTGAGGTAACTGATGCTGTGAAGTTCTGATATTCTGGAATAATGAAAAAACAATAATAATAATAATAATAATAATAATAATAATAATAATAATAATAATAATAATAATAATAATAATAACAACGAACGGCGGTGACTCGCGAATCTTTTTCCGATCGTTATTCTCACTCACTTATTAGCTAGCTGTCGAAGGTCTTCGCTCGGTACCTTTACACCACCCTGTTGTTGTTGCTCTTGTTGTCTGTCGTTCGATTGATCGACGATATCTTTACTCCTTTGCAAATTCTGACTCGAACCGAATCCTTCGGGTTTCGTCAGACATCTTAATTCTTCGTTTGCTCTTAAAGCGGTCGATAATCGCAATTGTAACGTGTCTCTTTCTTCGATGAGCTGAACGAAAAAAATTTTTTTTTTAAAATGTTTTTGTTTAAAGAGAGAGAGAGAGGGCAGGGGTGGTGGGAAACAAAGACAAACCAACCTGCATTAATTCGAACGTCAGTTCGTCGCAACGAACGTCTCTCTGATGCAGCATGTACAGTGCCGTGTCGAGATCGCTTTGAAGTCTCGTGCTTAATTCGGCAAGTTCGTGTTCGGTCCAATCGCTGTAGTCGGGATCACCTTCCGAAGTGACTGGAAAGAGACACGCGAACGGTTACAAGTAAAACATAGTGACGTAACAAGCAGAAGAAAATGGAAACGACGTAATATTTACCCGAAGCTTCCGTTTTGGCATCCTCTTGGATTTGAGCAATTCGCAATTCTTTGACTTGTTTCTCGAAATTTCTAAAATGTCCGATTTCTTCTTGCAGGTGAGTGAGAGTCTGTTTCAAATCCGTCACTTCGAGTTCTTTTTCTTCCAATATGGCCGTCACCTGACTCAATCGTGCTCTTTCCTCGTTTACAGTTTGCGTGAGCGCGAGTATTTCGTTTTCCTTTCTCGCGTATTCGAATTGTAATTTTTCAAATTCTCGTTCTATGATCCCTTTCGAATTTTCCAATTCCGCAATTTTTTCCATCATGTTCGTTTCGTTTTCCTTGTTCGTTTCCAAAAGTGACTCGCACAAGTTGGCCTTTTCCATGAGTTCGTTTTTTATTTCGAGTATTTCCGAGTCTTTTCTTTTCGCGCTTTCCACCGATTCCGTTTCCAATTTCAATATTTGACTTTTTAAATTCGTCAAATCTTCGTCTTTCGAATTCTGATATTTTTCCAACTCACGCTTCGTTTCCCCGAATTCCAAATTGATGCATTCCAATTCCTTTTGGAGATCCATTATTATTTTCTCGAGTTGAGCTTTCATTTCGAGGGATTCGCTCGTCGCTTTTACCTTTTCCCGATTTTCCGCATCCTCTAAACCCTTCATACGATTTTCCATATTCATTATTTTCTCCGTCAAAATTTGTATGTCGTTCATTTTTTCCTGTATCGTTTTGTCTTTCTCCGCTAATTCGTAGAGCAAATTTCCAGATTTTTGTTTTTCCTCTTCCAGAGACCTCGAAATGGCTTCGAGTTCGAACGCGACGGGGATTTGAATATTTTTTTGAAAAGGTTCGACGAATTTTTCCTCCGTGTTGAGTTTTTCCTCGTTCAACAACCTTTCGATTTCTATTTTCGAATCGTTGTAACTTTTTTCCAATTCGTTTATCTTCGTCATCAACTCGTTAATTTCACCGTTTTTCGCCGACACCAAATTTTCCAATTCAATTATTTTCTGCTTTAGATTTTCCACTTCTTCCTTACTTTCGGAATTATTTTTCTCCATCGCCGCGACGTTTTCCAATTCCGAAATCGTTTTTTGCAAATTTTCCATTTGAACGTCTTTTCCCTTGAGCATGTTTTCCAAATCTCGTATGCTCATGTTGAGCCCTTCGATCTCTCGATTTTTCCCCGCCTCAAAGTGAAAAAATTCCTCTTCCTTGAATCGTAAAATTTTCTCCAATTCTTCCACTTTTCCTTTGAGTTCTGCCGTTTCTTGTTGATTCCAAGCGAGAGACCTCAACTGATTCAATTCTTCCTCCGCCATTTTCAAATAATTTTCCAATTCTATATTCTTTTGCACCAAGGCGTCCATTTCGTTCTTTTTGTCGTTTTGATTCGAAATGCTCAATTGCAAATTGATCAATTCGTTTTCTTTCAAGTGTAGCAAATTTTCCAATTCTAAAATTTTACTCTTCAATATTTCCGGGTGATCTTGCGGTTCTGCCGGCATCGTTTCCGTTTTCTCGTTCAGGTCGATCGTATCGAATTCGTTCAACGATTCTTTCCGTTGAACCTTTTCCGCTTCGACCCTTTGCATCATTTGTCTATCCATTTCGAGTAAGTGATTTTTCAAACACGACAATTCCTCTTCTCTCAAACCCAGCACGTTTTTCCCTTCTTCCAAATCCTTTTTCAAATTTCTTATTTCGTTTTCGTATTGAGATTGAAGCAAGTTTAATTTTTCCCTCCATTCTTCCACTTCTTTGTCTTTAACAAAATTCTTTTCCGACATTTCTTTCACGTCGTTTTCTTTCATCTTGACCAACTCATCCAAATCTTTGATTTTCTGTCGCAAACCGTCCATTTCTCTCAGGGAATTTTCGAGTTCGCTTATTTTATGACTTTTTGCATTCAATTCTTCGTCTTTTAATTTCGTCACATTTTCCAATTCGCATAATTTTTTCTTGAGTTCTTCGATTTCCCCATCATCGTTTTTACTCACGGGTTCATTTTGCACGGTAGGCTCGTTGGGAACAACAGGAAATAGTTCGTCGTCGTTCGACGAGGATTTAAAATAATCAAAAATGTTCGATTTTTTTTCTTTCTCTTTCTCCTTTTTCGACGCCTCGACGGTTTTTTTCATTTCTCCGAGTATTTCCTGCAGTGTTTCATTTTCCGTCGCGAGAGCGTTCAACTGATCGTTAAGTTCACCGATGGCGGATGAATTTCTAGTTTCTTCGTCGAATAATTTTTTCTGGAGTAAATCTTTCACGTTGTTTAATTCTTCTATTTCTTTTTGCAGTGCTGATTTTTCTTCGATGACTTTTTGAACGTCCATCGCAAAAGGTTCGGCATTCGAAGTTTCCGAAAAGGGTATTTCTTTAGATTCGGACGAATTCGACAATTTCCTTTCGAGAGCTTCGATCTTGTTCAAAAGTTCTTTGTTTTCTTTCGCGAGAGAATTTTCATTTAAATTTTGTCGCAATGTTGAAATCTCGGACAAAAGTTCGTTATTTTTCTGTTGCCAATACTCGACTCCCGTGTCTTGCCTTTCTTTCATTTCCAGGTTTTTAACACTGAGACTGTCGATCCTTTTCAAAAGAGATTCCTTTTCCGTTTTATAATTTTCTATTGTTTTCAATAACTCCCGTTCCTTTTTCTCTTTGCTTTCGATTTGTGATTTTAATTCGTCCACAATGGCCGCATCTAAATCTTCCAAACTTGTATTGTTTTTCAATTGTTTTATTTCTTTCTGCAATTTTTCCGTAACGATTCTTTGTTCTTTTAATTTTTTCAATGCTTTTGCGTATTTTCCTTGCTGTTCTTGAAGTTCGTTCGACAACCTTTCGATTTCTTTTCTCGATGATTCCATTTCCGATTCTAACGTTTTTATCCTTTCCTTATACTCGAACACGATGTCTTCTTTGGGTTGCGCAGCGGACGATTCCGTCATTTTCGATGATAAATACTCTTCTTCCAATTGTCCGTCGGTTCCCCAGCTATCGTCCCACACCAACGATTCGAAATCCGAACAACTTTGAGTGGGTTCATCGAAGGAAGCTTTACCCGCATCCGTAAAAAACGAATTCTCTTCGAAATTTTCATTTTGCGGCGCTCCGAAAAACAAATTCGCATCGAATTTCCGTTCTCCTTCGTTGGATTTTTGCCCGGATATCGTTTTGATTTCCGCTTTTTCGATGAGCGGCTCAATGACGGGAGTGGGAATTTTATTCGGATCCATTTTCCTACTTTCCGAGACTTCGCGAACCATTTCCTCTTTTATTTTTTCTTCGTTGAGTTTCGCTTTCAAATTTTCTATTTCTTTATTCGCTTTTTTAAGGTTGGCATCGTAGTCGTGCAACTGACTTTTCAACTCTTTTATATATTCCACCTCGTCAGTTCGGAACGTTACGGATTTCCGCTTTTTCTTCTTTTTGTCTTCGTCGGAAACAGCAACGTCTTCCGCTTTTTCCTCATTACGATTTTTATCTTCGGATAACATATTGTTGAGCTTTTCCAACAATCCGGCATTCACGCTCGCGAGTTCTTCGATTTCGTGTTTCAACGATTTTTCTAAATTTTGAGAATTTTCGAGACTTTCTTTGAAATCGATTTCGAATTGCTCGTAGTCGGAATTGAGTTTTTTAAATTCCGCGGAAATTTGTTTGTTTTCCATTTTTGTTTTTTCCAAGTCTTTGGTGAGAGAATTAACGAGTTCCGTTTTTTCGACATCCATTTCTCTCAGCATTTCTATTTCCGATGCCGTTTCGACACTTTTTTCCAACAAACCTTTGACTTCTCTTTCCAAATTATGTTTTTCCTCTTGCGTTTCCGTTAGTAATTGTTTGAGTTCGGCATTTCCCGTTTCCAAAGTCTTGACAGAATTTAACAAATCTTTTTCGGATTTCAATAAAGCATCGACTCTGTTTGCCAAATCATCGATCGTGATGAGATTTTGAGAATCTTCCGTTATTTTTCTAAACATTTCTTCATTTTTCGTTTCGAGAGAGACTCGTCTCTCTTCCGAAACGAATAATTTTTCTTCGACGTATTTCAATTGATCCTGAGACTTATTCAATTCCGTTTCTAAATTTTCAATGACGGCAAGGTTTTCTTGCAATTTCGCATCGAAACCTGATTTTTCCGACGAATTTTCCGTCCCATCTTGAAACCTTTTAAGTTCCTCCAATTGCACTTCCAAATCCGATTTTTCGATAAGTGCTTCGTTGTATTTAAACTTCATTTCCTCCAATTTGTTCGTCACGTCGGCCAAATTTTGCAACAAAGCTTTTCTCTCCTCGTTGAACTCCATTTCTTTTTTTTTAACCGTCGCCGAAGAGTTTTGCTGTGCTTGAAACAATTCACTGTATTTCGCTTCGATGTCTAACAGTTTATCTGAAGAAAAAATTTTTTTTTATTTACTTTCTGAAAAGAAAACTTCCTTTCTTAAAAAAAAAGAAACGTGTTAAATTACCTTTGTATTGTTGTTCCACCATTTGTAACTCGTTGCAAATCTTGTAAGTTTTTTGTATTTCGTCTTCCAATTGTTTGACCTGTCCCTCGTGCATCAACCTATTACTCTCCAATTCTTTTTCCAAATCGTTAAATTTATCTTTCAGTGCGGACAATTCGCTTTCTAGACAACCTTTTTCCGTAACCGTTTCCCCGAGAACGACGTGAATTTGTTCCTTTTCCGTTTTTTCAAAATTCCACTTTTCCATCATTTCATTTACGTCTCCTTTTAGTTTTTCCACGCAATCATCTTTTTCCGACAGTCGGGATTCCAATTCCTTCACTTGTTTTTGCAAATCCGATTCGCTTTGAGCTTTCTTCTTTAAATTTGCCGCCAATTTTTTCATTTTAATTTTTAAATCTGATATTTCCTGTCCGCGAGGTTTTTCACCTCCCTCAAACTTTTTCAATTTTTCATTCAGTTCCGATATGAGTGATTCTTTTTCCGACAAAGACTTTTGTAAATTTTCCTTTTCGCTCGCCATTTGAGAGTACAAATCGTGAATTTCTTTTTTGTCGACGATTAAAGTTTTGATGCTATTTTCTAAATCTTGTTTTTCCGACAGCAAAGCGTTATACTCGGCTTCTTTGTCTCTGAGACATTTTCCCATATTTTCCAAATGATCTTGATAACCGTGAGTCAAATTCGTATTTACTTCTTCCAAACGACTTTTCAATTCTGCAATGTCCACATTTTTCTGAGCTAACGTACCTGCGACAACAAAAAAAAAAAAAAAAACAATTTTATAATATTAATTTGTAATCGAATAATAATGTAAAACTTCAGTAAATAAAATTTTACCCGTTATATTTTCAAGTTCCTTTTCCTTTTTATCCATATCATCTTCCATTTTTTTGATTGTGGCCAATAATTTTTGCACGTGATTTTCATTTTCCGTGAGTTTTTTCCCCGCGTCGTTTGCAAAATTTTGCAACATGTCGAATTTCGATGAAAATTCATTCAGCTGAACATCTTTTGCTCTTATCGAGTCTAGAGAATTTTCTAATTTTTTCACCGTTTCCGATAATTTCAATTTGTATTCTTTATTGTCGCCATCTAATATCTCGTTGGCTTTCGAACGGTCTTCCAGTAAATTTTGTAGCCTGAATATTTCGGTTTCTTTGCTCGCGAGCAAAACGTTTGCCCATTCGAATTTTTTCTCCAGTTCGGTTCCTTCATCCGTTCTTTCTTTCACGTTGTCGGTTTCCGACGGTTCGACATTTCTCGACAATTTATCCGAAGCAGCTTTTTCCACTCTTTCGACTTTATTTTCCAAATCGGCAATGAGTTCGCTTAAATAATTCATTTTACATTCGACGTCGGCCACGTCAAATTCGCTCTCGTTATTTTTCCCACCGCTCTCATCAGCCTTTCTTTTGAATTCTTCCAATAATTTTTTCCTTTTAACCTTTTCCTCGGACAAAAGGTGAACGACTTCGATATTTTCTTTCCGCAGTTTTTCACAGTGCTCGTTGAGTTCTATCAAACTGTTTTCCAAACTCAAACATTTTTTCTGAAGTTCTTGAACGTTTTCAATATCGTCTCCCGCGTTTTCCCAATGATTCTCACGATCCCAATCGTCTTTTTCGAACGTTTCGATACGTTCCGTGTACCTTTTTATGAGTTCGTCTTTTTCCTCCAATTTCTGATTTAAATCCTTCATTTTTTCATTTTGTAATTCGAGCGACTTTTTGGCTTCCATCAATTGCATTTCTATTTTCTTTATCTTATTCTTGGCGTTGACGTTGGATTTTTGATTTTTCGATGGTTCACCAGCCAACGAATTGAATCCCTCCTTGACTGAACTTTTCACCCTGTCGAGTTCACCGATGGTTTCTTCTAATTCTTTAATTTTTTTTTGGTAATTAAATGCTTTTTCTTTTTCCGCTTCAACAGCCGTTTGCAATTCTCCAATTAAATTTTGCTGATCGTTAACTATTCTTTGAAGATGAGATAATTTATTTTCCTCGTCGGAAAATTGTTTCAAAACGTCATCGCCGAGTTCTTTTTCGTTCTGAAAATTTTTTTTTTAACGTTTTTTTTTTTTAAAAAAAGTTTTGAAAATTAAAAATAAAAGTAAATAACGAAAAGGAAAATGAGGGAAAACTCACTCTCAAATCAAAATGTTCCATTTTTTCAAATGCCAATGAATCAGATGATGATGATGCCGCGCCACCGGAAAGCTTTTTCAATTTATCCAAAAGCTGTTGTTTCTCACGTATCAACAATTCAATTTGCTCTTCGACGTGTATGTTATTTATCTCCGTCGATATCCTGTATTCTTCTAATTCTTTCCTGTCTGTATTTTCCATTTTCCTATTGTAATAACATTCCAACATTTCAATTTCTTTACCGTGTTCTAATTTTAAATTTTCCAATTTTTCAACGTATTCAGATTTCGCGACTTTCAATTTTTCCTCCAATTCTTTTATTTTCTCTTCGTTATCATCCGTTTTCATTTCGTCCTGACCGCCATTGAAACCGACCATTTTCGAATATAAATCTTCTATCGTTATGTTTTGATCTTGGTACGCTTTTATCAAATCCGCATTTTCTTTTTCCAAATCTGATATTTTACTCACGCGCACGCTTAAATCTTCGTTTTGTTTTTTTATAATCATTTCCAATTCGGTAATTTTCTCATTTAAATTCTTCTCCGTAACTAAAATCAAAAAAAAAAAAAAAAAAATTAAATTAAATTTTTTACAAATCAAAAAATTGTTTATGTCATCAAATCATGCAATTTAAAAACGAGATGACATGCATTTCTTAATGTCACAAAAAAAAAATCAAAAGAAATAACTGAAAACAAGCAAAAAACAAATTTTTTTTTTCTTCTACTTTTTAATAATTTTTATTAATTGATATTGAATATGGAAGACGTGAATGTTTCGCAATCAAAAATACAAAAAAAAAAAAAAACATGAACTGATAAACTCGAGTCCAAATGTTATTATTAATTAGCGTACCAAATAATAAATTTTTTTTTTAAATTTTAAAATCTTGTCATTCATCAAACACCGATTGAATGAATGAATGAATGAATGAATGACGTTTTCAAATCTTTGTCCATTCGATGCTTTCCTCTCATGCAATATTATTAAATTAAAAAATAATAAAAAGCTTAGAAAAAAGCATAGAAAAGTTATCAAGAGAAATATAAAAGAGGCAAAAAAAAAAAAAAAAAGTGGAAACTTTAGGAAAGGAAAGGAATTATGCAGTGCGTGGGCGTGTGCGTGTGCGAATGTGTGCGTGGGTGAATATTATGTAAGCAAAATTACAATAATAACTACCTTTGAAATCATCAACATCTAATATTGTAAGTAGAAGATTACCTTTCTCATCCTCCAGTTCTGCAACGCGATTTTCTAATACGATTTTTTCATTTCTCAAATCATCCAACAATTTATTTAATCTTATAATTTCAGCCTTATCATCTGATGTCTACAAAAAAAAAAAAATTTACAACAACAACAACATTTACAAATTAATTAATAAACATTTCATTAAAAAAATTTTTTTTGGGAGACCCAACGCTTACATTTTGTAACGTTTCCATCGATTTATTCATTTCCTTTATTTTATTCCTATGTTCTAATTTCATTTTTATCATTGATTTATTTCTATCGTCTAATTCTTTCGTTAAAACTTTTATTTTATTTTCTAATTCTTCGGAAAATTCTCCACTCCCGAAATTTTCACTCCTCGAATTTGTTTCGCTTGATTTAATATCCGATTCTAATTTGGTATTTTTGTCTTTCAAATCCATTAATTTTTCTTCCAATTCGATTATTCTAAACAATGGCAAAAAAAAAAAGGAATTTGTTACATAAAATAAATTAATAATGATATTTTTTCCCATATTATTATTATCATCATCACCTGTTATCCCTTTCCGATAAATCATTTTTTAAACGATCTTCTATCTCTATGAAATTTTTTTGCATGTTTCTCATTTCCTGCCTGGTTTCCTCGAGATTTTCCAACGTGTTTTTCCCCTTTAAACTTAAATCTTTGGAAAGTAAAGCAACAGCTTGAGTGCGAGCTTCGATCACAGATTCTTTTTCTTTAATATTTTCTTCTAAATCTAAAACGTTTGCTTCCAATTCGTGGATTTTATTTTGTAATGCAAACATTTCGGATGATTCGTCGGAAGGTGAACTTGTTTGCGTTGATTTTGAGGCCACCTAAAATACAAAAAAAATGTCAACAATGTCCCCTTTTGGTGATGTTTTCAAAGACACAAAAACATTTTTAAACTTACAAAATCTCTATCGAGTTTTTTATTTTTTTTCGAAATCTCATGTTTGATTGGAGGTCTTTCTATATCTTTTTGTAAATGTTGTATCGTTTTATCCCTTTCATCAAGTTGAGCTTTTAACTGTTCTACCAAACTTTCTATTTTTTTAGTTTCCGTTTGTTCCTTACCCGTTCTTTGTTCAAATTTAATTCTGAAATTAAAAAAATTTTTATTTTTTTTCAAATAGAGACCTTGAAAGTGAGTTACAAAATAATAACTAACAATTTGTGGCAATGTTATCGAAACAAATTAATTTAACATTCATTTTTATTTATTACAGTTCAGTGACTACCAAATTTATTCATTCAAATTTGATCGAAATCTTTTTAATTGGCAATCGACAAAACACAATACAAAACTTTTTAATTCTTCGACTAACACTCGAATATTTAAAAACAGTAAATGATTTAAAAGGTAGTAAAATAAATAAGTAATTAATAATAATATATTTAAAATAAAAGTATTTTTAATAAAATTATTAATTAAAAATCCATTTAAAACAAATGAATTACATAACAAAAAATAATAAATAAATATTAAAGAAAATGGATGTGTTACGAAAACATCATTTGTGAGATTAAATGACATGATATATGTATTTCTGGGTGTGGTTTAACAAGAGGTCAAGGAAAATTGTCAAAAAAAAAAAAAAAGCATTTCAACATATCAATATTAGACTAAAAAAAAATTGTGATGTGTTTAAAATAAAATTTATTTAATTTTAACTTACTTGTTTTCCTCTAGACATTTTTTCAATTCTGAAACTTTTCCTCTCCTACCGATTTTAGGATTTTCATTATTTCCTCCGCTTTCGATTTTTGATATATTTTCTTTAGATGATCCTTTGACTAGACCTTTAGATGTTGAATTACTACCTCCTGATGATGTATTTTTTTTAACTTGAGAATTCTTGGTTCTAGCCCTTATTTGTGATAGTTTATTCGCATAAACCTGTAATAATTTTTTTTTTTTTTTAAAAAATTTACTCTCGATGTTCAGAAATAAATTTTATATCGAAAAAAAAAAAATATTCGAAACAAATTTCTAACCTCGACTTGTTTTTCTTTAGATGTTAACTGTGTTTCATTTTGTTTTAATGTTTCCTTTATTTGTGTTAAAACATTTTGCTGGTGTTGAAATTGATCTTTTAAATCTTGAACATCGGGAATTAAAAGAGGTACACTTTTTTCTCCTCCTGATGGATTATTTTGCAATGGAACCAAAATAGGAGTAACAGGAGTTTTTTTCGGGTCTCCATCCCCATCCTTTTCATCAGACCCAGGGTCCCAAAGCATAATTTAATTATCTGAATACAAAAATGATGAATTATGAGTAATTATGTTAAAGTTACTTAAATAAAAAAGATGTTTAAGTAAATTAAACTTTAAAAAACTTTTTTAATGAAAATAATTTTTTACATTCAAAAATATCATAAGAATAAGTTGCATATTTTACAAAATACTTTTTTAAAAAATAAAATAAAAAATATTATAAAAATAAATTCATTTTATTAATGACCCCAATAACAAGTAAATGTTATGCGTTTCAATAAGATTAAAGCAATAATAATAATAATAATAATAATAATAGTAGGGGTTTCAAACCGTTGACGTAATCGAGTCTGAAAGCTCATAATAACAGGCTTATATAGTTTACGTGGCGAAAATGACATGTAAACAAAAGCCTAAAAAATAATAATAATATTTTAATTTAATTACAAAATTTACCATTGAACCGTTAAAAATATACTTAAAAATCATAAAATTAAAATAAACCGAAAATAATTAATTAAGTAATAACAACATAAAATATGGCTGACTAACATTTTTGTCACCGTAATGGAAATTTAAATATATATCCAAAAATTGTCTTCATTTGTAGTCCAAATAAAAATAATTATTAAACAGAATCACACATTTTTTTTTTTTTTAACGTTAAACACTAAAAATTAATAAATAAAACACAGAAAACACACGATGTAAAAACTAATGATTATCAAACATAGGCCTTCACCTAATTCCAACCTCAAAACCAATTCGTGTTTCCACCGCCTTTGAAGAAAAACGTTTTTTTAAGTTTTCGTCTAATTCCACGACCGTTTTAACCTCCATCACACAATTCGTCACAAGTGTTTTGCACGTAATTACATTTTATGTGTTTTATTTTAATTTATATGTATTTTGTGTGAAGTAAAACAGTTGAAAACGATCGAAACTTCTCGAATGTAAGTAATATTATATTATTATATTATTCCATCGTTTAATTTTTTTCCCCACAATTAAATTATTTAAAAATTTTTACTTGAAACTAACAAAGTTATAAAATGTGGTGGTTCGATTTCATTATTATTTAAATAAGAAAGACTAAATTTAACTGCTCATCCTCGTTCAAATAATAAATAAGTTTTAGTTTTTTTACTTATTATTTAAAAATTGTAAAGAATCTATTATTTCTTTTGCGTTTAAATTTCAAAAATTTAATTCACCGTTATTTAGATAGCTGTTGATGTCATATCGAATAAAAAACTTTTTTTGAAACCAAAATAAATGTTTAACGGTTTGTAAAAAATATTTCTTTTGTTAAAATTTCAAATTTATTGTCATCAAAAAGTTTTAACCGTTCAAAAAAAAGAAAAATTTAATTTAACGTTAAAATTTTGGTTTTTCAATATGTCAGATATCAAAAAAAAAAAAAGAAGCAATTTTCGATATCACGTGATAAAAAAAAATTGAAGAATTTTTTTTTTTTCCCCATTTTTTTTTGTTTATTTATTTTATCTTCTTAAACCAATTCAGAAAAAAAAAAAAAAAAAAAAAAAAATTTTTTTTTGTTGTCACTTTAGTATAAAATTTTATTTCATACAAAATTATTTTTTACAATGCTCTTTTTTTCTATTTCCACGTTCAAATAGATTTTCAATTCGTTATACGATATAAAACGTTAAAAAAAATAAATAAATAAATAAACTTAAATAATTTAATTTGTCGTTTGAAACAGAGGTGTGGGGGGTTTGGGGTGGGGGTGGGGGTGGGGATGAGGATGAGGATTGGGGGGAAAGAAAACTTAAAATACAAAACAATAACGTCCTAAAATTTTATTTATTTGGCAATTAAAACTTAATAATACACTTTAAATCAAACAAAAAAAAGTAAAAAAAAAAAAACCGAACAAAAAATCTTTGTTTAGTCAAACTCAATTTTCCTCTCTCCCTTCCTCTCTCCCTTCCCCTCCTCTCCACTCCTCCCATTTTTTTGTACCCATTTAAACTTTGTATAGACTTTCAATAAACTTTTCAAAGAAATTGTTTTTACTACCTTTTAATATATAAACTTTTTGCAACTTTTTATTTTTTATTTTTTCTTCATCTTCTTCTTCTTTTCCCTTCTTCTTCATATTTTTTTTCTTCTTCTTCTTATTATTATTATTATTTTTCTTACCTGGTTAAAAGTCAGAGCAATATTTTGGTTAGCGTCACGTGCTCATAATGGATCTTCATTTTATTACACGTTTGGATGAATATTTTGTTGTAAACCTTAAAAAAACTTTTCCCGGGGAATAATCTAGAGAGAAAGAGAGAGAGAGAGAGAGAAAACAAAAACAAAAATAATAATAATAATAATTCTTTTTCGTTCTTAATAAAATAGTAAGACCCGGTTTCCCTTTCGAACGACGACAAAAAAAAAAGACCCCTGAAACAAAAAAAAAAAAAAAAAGAAAAAGTTTTTAATAAAATTAAAGTAAAATTCAATTCGAAACTTTTCTTTTTCTTTTTAAAAGAAAATTAAGCGCGGGAAGTAAAAAAAAAAAAAAAAAAAAAAAATTTTATTTATTTATTTATTTATAAATATAACAAAATAATCCAATTATATTTAATACCGCGAATTTTTATATAATAAACGTAAACGTTAAATAAATGTGTAAAACGAACGTGTCATTAATTTAAAAAATAATAAAGATGATGGAAAAAGGGGAGGAAGGGAAGGAAATTAAAAATAATTTCCGGTAAAAATATATAAATGAATTTATTTAAAAAAAAAAAAAAAAACAATAATAATAACTGAGGCATTACGGATTTATAATCGGAGAAGGGAGTTCTAAAAAGTCTGTCGAGATGACAGATGTCGAATATGTGCCAATCGCAGTCGGAAACAATCGATCATTTAATTTCCGGTTGTACGATATTGGCAAAACATTAATATCTGGAAAGACACAATAAATATGGAATAACTGTCGTGATACGGAATGAATGGACTAGTCGAGGAATGATACAACCCTGGTTAAGACAGCGAGTTCATGCACGGTTCTGTATGATGAACAAATCGATACTGACAGAATTGTTCCAGACAACGAACCGGATACCATCCTCAGGCATAATGCGGAAAAATGATGTAAGCTAATTGAAGTATCCGTAGCGGATGGTGGGAAAAACACCAGACAGCCAAAAAGCGGACAAATGGCTGAAGTACAGAAATCTAAAAATAGCCAGGATGTGGGGAGTAAAGACAGAAACTATTCCGGTCATCGTGGGAGCATCACTGGGAGCCACGTCACATTCAATAAAAGGAAATTTAAAAAATATTTTAAAGAATTTAAAAGAAGAAACCGGAAATGACGTTATGTGGAATGGCCTTCACATTTTTCGGAAAATATTATAAACAGCACAAACAAAATTTTAAGGAATCGGGTTTGAACCTGAAATAAATTTTTAAAAACCCTAAATTACAAATACACTAAATCTTGCCGTGTTCAAAAGTGACAATAATAATAATAATAATAATAATAATAATAATAATAATAATAATAATAATAATTTTCCCCGACGAATGAATGAATGAATAAAATATTCAAAAAAAAAAAAAGGTTTCGTTTAATATTATAAAATGATTTATAATAACGTAGTATTTGAGAAAAAAAAATTTTTTTTTTTTTTTTTTTTTTTTTGACGTGGCATTATTATCTCTCGTTACACGTGAATAAATATTGCACGGAAATTATTATTATTATTATTATTATTTACCAGAGGGAAAAAATAAAAGTATCGAATATATATATATATAGAAATTAGGTACGATTGAACGAATTTTAAATTTATTTCGATAAATAATATTATTATTTATACTTATTATTATTATTATTAATAAAAACTTTACATTTTCTAATACGTAATTAAAAAAGAAAAAAGAGGGGGAAGGAGGGGGAGAAAAGGGGGGTTTATTTTCTTTTTTTTTTTTGAATTCTCGTACGTTCGCAAAAAAAAAAAAAAAAAAAGATGATTACAATAAACGTACGACTAGGGCATTAGTTGGCATCGCCATTTGGTTTTTTCTCACACAGCCTTTTACGACGGGAAATTTTTTTTTTTTTTTTTTTTTTTGAATCCTTTGATTTTTATTCGCACCATTTTTTTTTCTTTTAAAGGAATTTTTTATTTATTCACAATTTTAAAGCTTTTTTTTCCTTTCCTTTCCTTTCCTTTCTTTCCTTCCTTTCCTTCCTCATAAAATTTAAAAAAAAAAAAAAAAATTTTTTTTCTTCACAAAATAAATTTCACTCGAATTTAAATGTTTCCACCTTTAAAAATTATTATCATCATCATCATCATCATAGCCATCATCATCATCATCATTATTATTATTATTATTACGAAACCCATTACAAATGTTATCCTTTTCTTTCATAACGTTTTTCATTACAAATCATTTTAACAACAATGGCACAAAAGAAAAATTTTATTTTATACGTATTTTATTTTTTTTTTTTTATTTTTCAAAAAAAAAAAAACCCGGGAAACTGAATTTAAAGTGGAAGTAGAAAAAGAAAGAAAAAGAAAGAAAGAAAGTGAGAGAGAGAGAGAATGAAAAATTCATTTTTTCTTTTTATAATAACAATATGAAATTATTTTGATTGTAATGTTAATTTTTTTTTTTTTCTGGTTAACCCTTAAACGATTTCAAACGTTTAAAATGATTGACGATGTTTAATAATAATAATAATAATAATAATAATAATAATAATATATTATCATTATTATTATTATTGATTTATTTGATAAAATTGATAACGGAAAAAAAAACTTCAAAACGATCCGAATTAAATTATTATTTAAAAAAAAAAAAAATGTCGTTTATAAATTAAAAAATAGAAAAGGGATGACGATTAAATAGAATTTTTAAAAAATAAAATCTATCGAATATGCGGATACGGAAATGGTTGATGCGTATAACAACATCCGGTTACGATAAAATCCGTTAACGAATCAAAATAAACGAGAAACGTACCAACGTATAAATCGGAA